GCAATGCCACACAAACATTTGTGGATTGAGTGATCAAATTATTTTAAAAAACTTTTTTTTTGAAGGGATTGTTATCCTCGGAAAAGCGATCCGCTAATCTACTAACAACCGGGTTTCTACTTACTGCTTGGTAAAGTAGGGCTTGTGGAGTAAGGAACCTTGACTGACATTTTGCCCTGCCCAGGTCCTCTCGCTTGTGAGGCGAGTGCTCAAGCTAATATACTACAGGACTCCACAAGGACTACAGGACGAGTCTGTGTTATAAGCCTATAAGGAAGGTAGAGAGATTTTGAGGAAGGTTTTGAGAAAGGAGGTAGGGAGTGAAGTATTGAAAAATCCTTATTGTATTGTATTTAAGGTTGTTAAAGATGATGTGTAGATTATCGGAAGTGGGCAACTTTTGTGCTCTTCCCATCTACAGTGAAGGCTTTAACTGTTTATAGCAAGTTATTTTTTTACACACACCAACATAATGATAAAGACTTTTCATGTGGAATTGGCCTACTGGTAACCAGCTGACTGATGTTACAAGTTATTCGAATGGGCCATTGAGCCAATGTCTACAATAATGATACTTGCGTTTGATGTAGCACCTTATCACATCGTTGAACCATCTCAAAGCGCCTCACAGCATATACTGTAAAGTGGATTGACTGTGTATTCTGTGGGCGAGACGCTGCAGCCAGTTTGCGCACAGTAGTGTCCCACAAACAGCCATGGAGTGAGTGTCCAATTTTATTTGGGGGATTGTTGGCCAGGACCCCCTTCTCTTTTCGTATAATGCAGTGGGATCTTTAATGTCCACCCGAACAGGAAGACCGGACCTCGGTTTAATGTCTCATCCGAGACATCCGAAGTATGGCACCTCCGACAAAGCAACACCCACCCAGCACTGAATTGGAATATCATGCCACTTGGTATCTTATAGAGAGAAGGTAAAGCAACCACCTAACTCTCGAGTCCAGGTCAGGCTAACAGCAGATGGGCTGGAGAAATGGGCTTTGTTCTTAGACAGATGCTCAGCAAGCTGGGTTCGGATGACTGCTTCAGTGCAATTTTACACTGAATGCATACGCGAGTGAGCGCTTTAATCTGCTTGGGTTCCTTAATCCTATTGCAAAGAGAAAAGGCAGAAAATTCACTGCTGCTGGCAGATAACCATTTGGAAGGAAGCTTCACCATACAGATTAATGACCGTTGTCTCAATCTGTTGTTTGGATGAATCTGCTGACTGGGCTCTTCATACACCTGTGAAGAGTGACAAGAGTACACACAAATGGAGCTGGGTCTCTGTTGTCCGCGTGTACTTGTTTGTGTGTGTTTTTGTGTGTGTGTGTGTGTGAGAGTTCGAGGGCAGCAGCTGAGTTGGGCAGTTGTTGAGAGTGGCGCCAGTGAACAGAAGGCCACATTATCCAGTTATTTTGAGCTGAATTAAGATGAAAAGACACACTAGACACTTGCCCCTCAAAGGAAATCTTGGATCTTGCTCAGAATCGAGTTAATCGAGATGAAGTCAGTGGAAAAGTAACCCTTTAAGCTGGGAAGGGGGCACAGAAAGTGGTGTGGTCCAGCCTGGTTACAGCCCTTTTGACATCAAAGCTTCCAGATACTCAGTTGGTTGTTCACAGCAACCATTCTCCTCGGATCCTGCCTAAGGATTAGCAGGATCACTTAGCATTCTCCATCACTTAGTCTGTCCACTGATGTGACACCCGTCTCATGAATGTCCTCATCCCAGAACAATGGATCACTGGGTCCTGTCCTAGGAATTTCCTCCCATTTATTTCCTGGGTTTGTTTCCAGCATATAGAAATAGAAGAAATAACAATCAGCCTTGTGAGGTAGTTGCTGCTATTTTAAAGGGATTTATGGATCAGTTATTTGTTAGATAGATAGATAGATAGATAGATAGATAGATAGATAGATAGATAGATAGATAGATAGATAGATAGATAGATAGATAGATAGATAGATAGTTAGATAGATAGATAGATAGATAGATAGATAGATAGATAGATAGATAGATAGATAGATAGATAGATAGATAGATAGATAGATAGATAGATAGATAGATAGATAGATAGATAGATAGATAGATAGATAGATAGATAGATAGATAGATAGATAGATAGATAGATAGATAGATAGATAGATAGATAGATAGATAGATAATCCTTGCATTTTATAGTGCCTTATCACCTCGTTTAGATGTCTCAAAGGACTTCATTGGAATATAAAAGAGAATTGACTATGTTTGTGAGTGAAATGCAGCAGCCAATTGCGCACAGCAGTGTCCCACAAACAGTCGTGGATTAAGTGACCAAATTATTATCATTTTATTTATTTATTTTTGAAGGGATTATTACCCCTAGAAAGCAATCCTCCAATCGACTAACAGCCGGGTTCCAACGTATTGCTGGGCGCAGGGCGGAGGAATTATCATCATGTTTCGGGAAGGAAAGTAATTAGGAAGCTACATTCATCTGATCTGACAGTAGCGGTTAGGAAGTGCTAAAAGTGACTGGGATTCAGCAGTAAAAACAAAGGGAAACCTGCTTACCTTTGATTTGGAGTTTCGTAGCGTTGTGGTTAGAACATTCGTTTCGTAAGCGAGTGTTGGATTCCCTGGCAGGGCAAAACCTTAGGCAAGTTTCCTTGCTCCACATGCTTCTGTTTACCTAGCAGTAAGTCGGAACCCGGTTGCTAGTCGATTGGTGGATGTCTTTCCGGGGGTAATAATCCCTCAAAAAAAAGTGGTCAATCAATCCACTGCTGTTCGTGGAACACTGCTGTGCACAATTGGCTGCGGCATTTTGCCAACAAAATTTACAGTCAATTCATTTTACAGTATATTCTGTGAAGCGCTTTGAGATGATGATCTTAATGATGTGATTAGGCGCTATATCAAACGTAAGTATTATTATTATTTGGCTTCAATAAATTCCGCAAGCTTGCCATCGTTTCTGAAGCTCCTCAGCTACGTGTGTGCATGTCTTTAAAGTTTGATTTAATAAAGAGCAGTTTTTGTAAATAGGCGAAATAATCTCTTGATACTAGATGATTGGATTTGGCGCTTAAGAAAGGTTTGTCATCCTGTGCAGTCTTTCCATCTTCTTTCTACAAGATTGCGACTTTTTTAAATTAAATTCTCCCAGGTCGGTACTGGCGTAATAATAGTGCCAAGTCCTGTGTTTTTATATTCAATTTAGGTCCCTCTGCCTGACAGAAACGACTTCATGGTTTCTCGCAATTTCATTTATATGATGGATTTAACTGCATTACTGTTCCATTAAAGCAAGCTCCAGGCAGAATCCTGTGGACATTAAAGAACTAAGTGCCCTGAGCCGTGTGATGTGTGATGATCTGAATGAAACCTTTCAGTGCGTTGCTCTCAGCATGAGAAGGGGATCATAGTTGTCAGCATCATAGGCGGCAGGTGAAAATATTCTTGAGGGGGGTTTATTAATCCCACCCCTCGGCCCGCCCTCCAGGCACAATGCCATTCTGACATGATTCCCTGAACAATAGGCCCACGGGGACAGAATCAGATTGTACCAGGAAAGGCTGGTGGAGGAAAGGAAATCAATGGAGCTGCTTTGCTTATAAATGGTTAGAGAAAAAGTCTTAAGGCAGTGCTTTTTTGTTCAAAGTAGTCTCATTGGCTAAAAATAGCGTTTTACTACTAGTTATGAGGAATCCACATCCTGCTGCCCCTCCTCACAGCCGCTCAGGGTGACGTGTTTCAGGGAAACAGCCGGGTGGCTCCATACTGTTTAGTGTGCGGAGACTATTCCAAAAATAGCTGCTGAAATCCCTGTGGAAAGTAGCACAATTGAGACATTCAGTTTGAGCAGTGAGATGCTGACCTGGCCTCTGTAAGCAAACCGTGGGTGGGGCTGCTTGCCTACTCTGTGTGATTCATTCACTCTTTTTGGTTCGTGTTATCCAATTAATGGCTTAGACGGCCATTCACTTACCTTTAGTCCAAAGCCAATTATGAATAATTAAAGGGAAGCGATAGTAAATGTAATGCGGATTCAGATTGCTAGTCACAGCCATTGATCCTCCTTAAAGCAGCCCAGTTCCTGGCTGGCTCGGTGAGTATCCTCCACCGAGAGAATGCAAACTCGGGATTTGATTCCTAGGTTGCGCTCAGACTCAGTCCATGTCAGGGGTGGCTTTTGTCACCTCGAGACAAAATTTCTCTCAAATGCTCTTCCTGCTGGCCTCCCCAGCTTCCTTTCACACAGACACACATACACCCTCCTATTGATTCGAAATCCCGACGTGGGGCTTGAACCCACAAGCTTCTGACTCAGAAGCGAGAGTGCTCCCACTGAGCTAGGCTGAGACAAGCTAAATTCCCTATTATTTACTCAGAGGGTAACTAACAACTGGAACAGAAAGGGTGGCTGAGGCCAGGACAGTAAATGGGAGAAACAGCTCATTGCTGTAATTGATGGGAGGATACGATCAAATGGACCGACAGGCTTTCTTCAGCTGAACTTATTTGATGAGATCGCTATAAATATGATGCAATGATATTCTCAATCCTATTTTAGCGTGTGACTCAAGCTTTCTGTAAAAATGATCAGTCTTCAAAAGTTAATGAGCAATCTGAAGGTCCAGGTGTTCCAAACCCCCTGGGTTGGCCCGGCTGCAGGAATTAGCTCTGAACAATAGTGTGTCTGTTTTGATTGTGTGGATTATAACCACCCAGAAACCAACTGTAAATCTAGAACTGTGGCAGGTCTCCGAAAGGAAGGGATCTAATAATAATAATAATAATCCTTGTATTTGATATAGCCCCTTATCACATCTTCGAGATGTCTAAAAGAGCTTCACAGAATATACTATTACGTGAATTGACTGCATATTTTTGTGGGTAAAACTAGAATAGACAAACGTGCTGAAGTTGAGGTTTTGCTGCTGTTAGGAATAAAGAAATTCCTGAATAAAGGATGTGGCTGACGCAAGGACCTTTTTTGGATTTCTTTCAGCGGAGAAAGTTAGTTCCCTGGGAAAGGACTGGCACAGGTTCTGCCTGAAATGCGAGCGCTGTAACAAGATCCTGAGCGCAGGAAACCATGCCGAGGTGAGTGTCTTACAATACAATACCGAGTGAGGCTGGCAACAGTGCAGTCTCTCATCCCCAACCCCCAACCATCCACTGAGAGAGCACAGACACTAACTACACTTCCCTTCTCTGAGTAACCTGACATCCCTCAATGCACTTACAAACACTTACAGATGCCAATCATCCTGGTGAGGGGAACGGAATGAATTCAAAGTGCCTCAATATAGGATCCCCAGGGGAGCAGAGCAATTTCCATTGTGTAAAGAGAAGACATTTGGAATTGTTCTGCCTTTGTGTGATGTGGCATTGAATGTTGCTGTGTGAGATATTAATAACCCGGTCTGTTCTCAAGCACTGTCACCTCTGCGTACCAGGTAGCTTCTGTTTCTGGCTGGTGGTTAGAGCAGCTGAAAGTCAGAATGAGACAAGCAGTCCATATAATAATAATGCTACCAATAATAATAATTCTTGCATTTGATATAGTGCCTTATCATGTCATTGTGATGTCTCAAAGCGCTTCACAGAATATACTGCAAAGTGAACTGTATTTTATGGTTGAAACGCGGCAGCCAATTGCGCAGAGCGGTGTCCCGCAAACGGTTGTGGAGTGAGTGACCAATTTTACACCGGGGGAGAGAAACTTCTTTCTCTTTTCGAATAGTGCCATGGGATCTTTAAGGTCCACCTGAACAGGCAGATGGGAATGAAGGGATACCCACTCATAGTGAATAGCTACCACCAACCCAGTACATTCTGGGTCAATTATACACTTTACAGTATATTCTGTGAAGCGCTTTGAGATGTCTCAATGATGTGATAAGCCACTAAATCAAATGCAAGGATTATTATCATTATTATGAACTGGAGCACCCTGTGCATTAAGGGCAAATGGAGGGTAGGGACTGAACAAGGGAAGCAAAGTAAACTTTGTATGGATAACACACAAGATTATTTAAAAAAAACGCACAGCCAGACAAACCAATCTCAACTGTGGCCCAAACTGCCTGCATGTATTAGAATAACAGCTACTGTTCTGCAAAGCACACAGCCTGCTTCTGTTCCACACCTCGGCAATATGGGAGTTGACACTGAGCTACGCTGAACATGAACCCGACACTACCCAGAGCCGACTAAACTGTCCCAGATGTGGTTGGTTGAGCTTAAACTGAATGCATTCTTCACAAATAATGTGAAAAGAACACATTTTTTCTGCCTTTAAAGAAAATAAATTATGCCAACGTATCCATGGACTGTTGACAAAAAAAGTCAACTCCTTCCCCCTCGAGTGAAAACACAGAAATTTATGGTGTTTTTTTTCAATATCTGATCCAAACACTTTAAAGGGTCGTGTAGCAGGGAGACTAGGGAAAGACGAGACTTCTGGATGGTATAGGAATCTGGATGGTGAAGCTTTGTAGTCAGAATGTCAAACATATTGGAGTGCCTCACCATCTGCCTGACGTTCTCTCTGCCTATCACGTTACCTTGATGTCCAACTGTGTGGAAGATAATTGGTCAAAATCCCTTGGAAATCGGTAAGGGAGTTTGCTCATTGCCAGGCTGGTGCTGTACTTAGTTCTGTGAAGCATGTGTTTCTCATCCTGTTCACATCAGCTTTGCCACTTCTCACAGTCTTGAAACTAAAGTTCCGTAATCCATTAGGTGTCAATGTAACCAATGTATCCTAACACTTGAGGAAATGGGATAAAACTAAACCACTTAGAGGCAGGCCAGTGTGGCTAATTCTCACAGTCATAGAAATTACAGCATAGGAGCTCGTTTGCAGGTACTAATGCATTCCACTGGAGCTGGCTTCTCTGATCACAATTCCCTGCTCTTACCCCATACTCCTTTATATTCAGCTGCTTCGAGTGTTTATTCATTGATAATTAATTAGGGATAATAATGCCTAAAAAAAAATCACAAAAAAATGTGGTCATTCAATCCACGGCTGTTTGTGGGACACTGCTGTGTGCAATTGGCTGCCGTGTTTTGCCCACAAAAAAAGTCGATCCACTTTACAATATATCCTGTGAAGCTCTTCGAGATGTCTCAATGACGTCAGTGATAAGGCACTATATCAAATGCAAGGATTATTATTATAAGTCTTAAATCCAGGAATATGAGGGGCAATCTTAAAACTGATTTTTCTTTTACAAAGAGAGAAATTAACAGCTGGAAAGGACAACCAGAAGGGATGATAGACCAGGACATGGACCCAGTTAAGAAACTGATTAGGCTGGCATTGGGTTAGTATTCTGGAAGGATGAGATCAAATGACCTGAAGGTCCTTGTCTTCAGTCCAATCTTGTGAAATGTTGACATAGATCTTTTAAGGGATAAATTAGCTAGAAATATCTGAGGATATTAGAAAATGTGAAACCTATTAAGTGATTTTGTTCAGAATACTCTTTTCATATTCCGAGTCCTGAATCTATACCAAAGCAGAGGTAGGTTTTGCACATGTTGAAAATCAAATCATTAATTTTATCCGGAGTCCTGGATGAGGTAGGGCCATGAGAATCCTTAATGTAGAAATAGCACTATTCTTTCCAGTGCTCCGCAAATAGAGAGCAGCCTCCAAGCACTGGAATACGTCTTCCAAAAGGAACAAGACACAAAATGGGAATGATAGAAAAGTTAGTCTAATAATAGGCAACGTGCTTGAAATATAAAAAGCATGAGTGTCATAATGAGAAGCCAGCATGGCTTTAGAAATAATGGGTTCTGACTCTGAACCCACTAAAATTCTTAGAAGTGACGGATAAGTCAGTGTCTAAGGGCTACGCATTGGATATAATTACATTTTCAGAAGGAGTTTGATGCTGTTAAAATAGATAAAGGAGATGGAAGTTAAGCTAGATGAATTGGAACTTAGCTTGGAGGTGCGCAGCAGGAGGTGAAAAATACACACAGCACTTTGGAGTATATCCTATGAAGCACTTTGAGACATCTCAACGACCTGATAAGGCACTCTAGCAAATGCAAGGATTATGTTTACATAAAATCCAGTGATTTCCAATGGACAGCTGGTGATAGTCGCCTACTTATAGCTTCAGCGTTTTGGGAGATCAAAGCTTTGTAACCTTCACTATTGCAAGTAGCTGGGACATTCTCCATCAGAGCATAGGCAATAAGAAAAAGGCCATTTGACCCATTGGGCTTATGCTTCTGCCAACAGCCCAGACATCATATCTTTCAAGATTCATGTCCAGCTTAATGAAGGCAGATGTGTCAGTGTGATTTTTGTTACATTTTTGAAATCTTTGCCCTTCTCTCAGCTCTTATAAATCTAGCTGGAAAGCCGCCAGGAGATTTCAATAATCTAATCGTAGAATTTGAATGACTACTGTAAATAAACCATTCCAGCGTTGCACAACGGATATGGCAGAATTACCCAGTGTGATCTGCCAAATTGCAGGAGGTGACAGAGAGTCATGTGTGAGCTGTACAGACACAGATGTGAATGAATTGTATAATGTTTTTATTTTATATATATTAGCTCCTCCTTTCGACTGTGCTTATGGTCATCAACACAATTATAGCAGGTTTCCTTTACTGTCGTGCCTTCAGTGTAGCAGGATGGTCTTTATGCGCTTCGCAAAGATGACGGGGATCACTGAGCAGGGTCGAAAGAAGAGGGGATTGACCAAAGACTGTTGATCAAAGTTGTATGGTTAAAAGTTGCACCCTTAACCTTACCCTCTTCATTCGCTTCCCTTCCTCCTCCTCGCCCTCAATGTAGAATTCCTTCCCTTCCTCCAGCAAAATGTATCATAAGTAAACGTCTGTGTTTTGATGCAGTGACTCAATCGCACTGAAAGCTTTCTCCCCGCACTCCACGCAATTACTTTGACGTGGAGTGGCTTATTATTATAAGCAAATGTGGCATCTAGTCATGATGATATGAACTCATTATTTATACCTTCAGGTTAGTTTGGAATGGGAAGGAATATTGGCTGGGAGGACTTGCTCTTTGAAATCGAGCCACGGTTTGTGTAACATCTAGACTCAGTTTTGATATCGCCAAACCATGATACAATTTATCTAATTTCTCTCCTCATCTTTACAGTCTTGCTTGTGTCCTCTGGCTGGGATCCTTCTCATTCAATTCCCACAAGCCCAAACTGGTAGATCCTAAGCAGCGGGGAGCTTGCAGTGATGAGCTGCAGTTTTAGGTTAGTTAAGACTGCAGTAGTTATCCCAGTACAGACTCCGGGCGGGATCTGCAAGTCGTGCTTTTTCTAACCTGTGCTAAACTTTCCTGAATTAGGAGAGCAGGTTCCTTCCTTCCTCTCCGCAACAACCCCCCCCCCCACCGCGCCCCCACTCTATTTGGTTACTGTTAAATAGAATGATGCTTTTTCACATATATCGGACGCACGCAACAGTAGCAAAAGAATTTACCACTGTCTTACACTGTAAGCTTTGGTCCTGGGCATTTGATACAGCACCTTTCACATTGGGTGGATGTGAAGTGCTTTACAGGATAAACTGTAAAGTGTAGTGTCTGTTTATTTTGTAGGCAAACACCGATTGCGCCCAGCAGTGTCCCTTGAAGTGAATCATCAAATTTATTTGGGCGATTGCAGGCCAGGGCACACAAAACTCCACTCCTCTCTCTTCTTGCCGTGAATCTCAACAATCATTTTGTTGAACGCACGTCCTCACAGTACGAGTCAAATTTCACACACTCTGCATTTGACTGAGCATCACAAGCAGCAGCTATGTCCAGAAGTTGTGGAGCAAATGTCTTGTGCATCAGTGTTTGCACTAGTTTACAGGCGGTCAGCCACTAATAATAAAGTGGAGCCTTGTAATTAACAGTACCTGAGGCCTCCAGGGCATTACCTGTGAAAAACCTTGGCAAGTTTCCTTACTCCACACGCCTCTGTTTACCTAGTAGTAAGTAGGAACTCGGTTGTTAGTCAATTGGCGGATCGCTATTTCAAAGGTAGTAATCCCTTCAAACAAAAAATAAATTTGGGTCACTCAATCCATGACTGTTTGTGGGACACTGCTGAGCGCAATTGGCTGCTGCATTTTGCCCACAAATATAAGGAGTAAGTTTCCTTACTCCACACGCCTCTGTTTACCTAGTAGTAAGTAGGAACCTGGCTGTTAATCCATTGGTGGATTGCTTTCCGGGTCAAATGGTATGTGATAACAGTGGTAGCACTCTTGCCTCTGAGTCAGAAGGTTGTGGGTTCAAGCCCCACATCAGGACTTGGAATTACATAGTTAAATTGACACTACAATGCAGTGATAAATGCGGTTGCATTCTCTGGTCAGGTAGAACTGATTGCTGCGTTTCACCCAAAAAATACAGTCAATCCACTTTACAGTATATTCTGTGAAGCGCTTTGAGATGTGATGAGGGTTTATATCAAATGCAAGTTTTATTATTAGAAATGTGCTGCTGCTTTAGCTGACATTTCCTCTCCCTAAGGCCAGGGATGTTGAGGCCAGTTCTCTTAGGTAACTCAATGTAGCCTGGGGTTTGAACACATCTTATTGTTCTTATTGTTTGTCCTCAGGATCAGTTACACACTCATCAGAAATCCTTTGTTCCTGACCAGTCTTCCTGACAGGAAGGAGTAAAAAAAACTTCAGTGGAGTTTTGCTCTTCTTATCTCGGTTGTGTACTCATTTTCTTAGCTTTTTTTTCTGTGACTTTTATTAAAAAACATCCTTCTATTGTTGATCCTTGCATTTTATCAGTGCCTAAAAATATCTGAGTAAAGCGTTTTAAGTAAAGTGACTATTTGTAGATGTATGCAGTAGCAAATTTGCACAAATGGCCAGGAAGGGAATGATCAAATTAACTGGAGGATTGTTGGACTGTCCATCAAGAGAAACTCCCTTCTTCTTTGAATTGTGCCATGGGACCTAACCTTTAACGACCACCTGAACAGGCAGATGAAGCCTCAGCTTAACATCTAACCTGGACGATGGCATTTTCATCAAAGCAACACTACCCCCAGCACTACAATGTCAGCCAAGACTAATTAATAATAATAATCCTTGCATTCGATATAGCGCCTTATCACGTCATTGAGACGTCTCAAAGCGCTTTACAGAATATACTGTAAAGTGAACTGACTATATTTTGTGGGCTATGAGCTCAAGGTGACTGCTGACCCAGAGGTGAGAGTGCTGTCAGCTGAGCCAAGCTGACATCTACCCACTGACAGTATTGTGTTGAATTTTTTTATCATTGATTGGAAAATGTCTCCTTCAGTTATTTTATGTTGAAATGTTTTTTCTCTCTTTTACAGCATGATGGGAAACCGTACTGCCACAAGCCTTGCTATGCAGTTTTATACGGACCTAAAGGTGAAATGTTAAATAATTTCATTGTTAACATTTAAAGATGTTAAACATTGTGCTAAATGAGAGGAAGAGAGTTCCTGCCTGTCAGTGGGATGTACATAATGAAATAGACATGGCTGTGTGCTAGACAGCATTGTGTAAGGGCATTTATTTTGAAGGACAGTGGCAAAAGTCTGGTTACACTTTGTAGGATAGACTCCACTCCATGTCTATCCTGGGCCATAGCTGTGTCTTCATGGCATTGATCTCCCTGCTGCTTGTTTATTTAATAATAAGGCTCATTCAGCTGTGACTGAAGGAAAACAAGCCAACCTGTGATTGGGATAATGCCAGACTTATTAGTGTGAGGCCGTGATAAGGACATGCCCTGGGAGCATCCTTTGGGCTCCTGTCATGTACGATAATTCAGGACTACTTAATGGTTCAGATTACATTAAACTGGTGATAACTCGTCACTCCAAGGGAAAAGGGCTCAGTGATGAGTTTATCTGGAGTGGCGAGGTAGGCATATGTATAAATACATAAATAAATGCAGCGGGAATATTGACAGCATGATGATCTAAGTAGTGACGAGTTAAGGCAGGGTAAAAGTTATCTTTCAAACTAAGCAGACAAATGCTGGTGTTTTTAGTTGGTAACAGTGTGTGACAATTTTTTGCCTCTTTGTTTCCAGGAGTGAATATCGGAGCCCTTGGCTCGTACGTCTATGATAATCCCCCCGTGCCCACCAACACACAACCTGTTGGTGTTCCAGAGCCCCAGGCTCCAAATTCAGTGCTGCAAAGATCCACGGCTCCCAATAAGGGCCCCAGCAAAGGTGAGTGGGTTTTGGCCTGGGCCTCATGCCCAAACTCTCACGTGACCCACACAATAGTATTCTTAATGTCTCCCAGTTCTAGGCACCAGAAGGGAACGGAAATCAGATAAATAATGAATGATGAAAATCCAGCTGCACAACAAAGCTATCTTGTCATTCGAGTGATGAGGCTAGCTAGGGGTCCTCTTGTCTATTGCAATCTATTGATGGACGCCNTTTTTTCACGGTTAATTTTCTCTTCCGGGTTTCTACGGAAACACGAGAGAGACTTAAATATTCATTGTTCCTTCAGAGTGTAAGGTATAGCTGGGGGTGGGGGTGCGGGGTTGGGGATTGGGCAGGTGATGGGGGAGCAGGGTGTCCTTGGGGATAGATGGAGAATAATTGTTACAGATGGGCAACAGAGCTCAAGGGGTTTGTAAACTATCTTTGGAAGTGCTTGATGTGAGTTAGATGATACTTGAGCCTTCCTGATGTCATTCTTTCCCCATTCTAAGTAATGGGGGCGGAGTGGTGGGGGGTTAATCACTCTCCCCTGATCCCAGTAGGTGCTGGGTTAGCTGGTCACAGCCAGTATAGCACTAACTGCACAGCTTAGCAGTGCTCTGGGTTATGGTTAGGGAGGTTAACTTCAGCCAGGGTTTCTGTTCCTCATTATTGTGTGTGTCAGCCTGGTGCAGTGGTAGCACTCTCACCTCTGAGTCAGAAGGTTGTGGGTTCAAATCCCTGTCAGACTTGGAATCACAGACTAAGCAGTGCTGGGGGAGGTGCATCCTTCAGATGAGGTGTTAAACCGAGATCCCGTCTACCTGTTCAGGTGAATGTTAAAGATCCCATGGCGCTATTCTAAAAGAGAAGGAATTTCTCTCTCCTGATTTCCTGGCCAACGATTCCCCCAAATAAAATTGGTCACTCACTCCATGGCTGTTTGTGGGACTTTGCTGTACTCAACTGGGTGCTGAATTTCACCCACAAAATACATGGTCAAATCCACTTTACAGTATATCCTATGTAGCACTTTGAGAGGCCTCTACGACATTATAAGGCCCAAGGATTATTTATTATTATTATTATCTAGTTTCCTCCAAGGAAGAAGTGAGGGTCCAAGTAGAGGAAGGAATCAGCCGGGATTGCTGCCACTTGTTGCTAAGCATTTGCACATGATGAATTGCCATTTAGGTAAAGCACTGGTGCATGAGTAGGGTCAGGGCAAATGCACACCAGGGGAGTGGAGAAAGTAGGCAAAACACTTTGAAGAGAAATAAATCAGTGGAGNAAAAAAGCGTATCCACGAATGAGAGTCTCTTGACATTGANTTTTTTTTTGTCAGCCAGATGTTTGACACATGTGGAAACCCATACTTAAGATCGTCAGAACCAAACTGAGATTTCCATGCATCCCATCCACACATGAAAGTTCCAGAGAAAGATTGTTGGTGTGGAATGTGTTCTCTCTCTCTCTGGAGGGAAGCATCCTGCTTACCTAATTCCGGAAAGCATTAGGTACAGGTTGGCAAGAACCAAGGCTTGGGGATCATAGTGTAACTGCTGGAGTCTAACTATCTAAACTTGACACTGAGGTCAAATTGGGCCATTTTGACAGGAGACATCCTGAACCTGTGGCGATTTGATACTAGTCACGCCCCAGCATAGACTGGGCAGATTTATTTATAAACTCTGGTGCCTCAGTGTTAATTGTTTTTCCTGTTGACACTTGGCTCCGGCAATAAGGATTTTGTCGCCAAGCTATACTCTGAGTGATGCTAATCACTAATCCGATTGAGTGAGTGTGATTGTTTTTCTAATTCTGGTTAGTCACTACACTGCTCTAGGGAAGGAGCACTGGAAACCTGGGTTACTACCTGATGGAGTCCTGTAGAGTATTGGTTAGAGCACTCGCCTCGTAATCGAGAGGACCTGGGTTTGATTCTCAGGCAGGGCAAGATGTTAAGCAAGTTTCCTTACTCCACACGCCTCTGTTTACCTAGCAATAAGTAGGAACCCAATTGTTAGCAGATTGGAGGATCGCTTTTCCGGGGCTAATAATCCCTTCAAAAAATAAATAAAAAATAATAATTTGGTCACTCAATCCACGACTGTTTGTGGGACACCACTGTGCAAAATTGGCTGCCGCACTTTGCTCATAAAATACACAGTCAGTCGACTTTACGTGAAGATGTCTCAAAGACGTGATTAGGCGCTATATCAAATGCTATATCGGTGCTGTTTGATTTGTGCACATTTTGTGGTTTTGAGGCTTAACAGATTAACAGCTGGAAAGATTGCAAAGGCCAGTACGTGGGGCAGGCTCGGAAAACAGCTTGGTGCTATAACTGGAAGATGATGTTCAGGAAAGGATGGGAATTCTGGGAAGATGAGATCTTTGTTGTGTTCTTAATAATAATAAGTATCCTGCATTTGATATAGCACCTTATCACATCATAATAAGGCTGTATGTAAACTGCAAGAATTATAATTATTATTTCAATTCTCCCTTGCACTTGGCTGGTTGATGTGGTCTTAGAAAGAAGAGGTTGTTTAACAAAGCCCTTTAACTGTTGAAACAATTCCTGTTTAATGGGGTCTCTTGTTTCTCATCATGTTGACAAGCCACTGAATGATTTTTGAGCTCGGAGCGTGGGTTGGTTTTCCTGTAATGCCATGGAGGAGGCTTGAAACATCTGTAAATGTCATTCCAGGAGAGAGGAAGCAGATCATTTCCCTAGAATGATGAAGTAGCCTCGCTACTGTAATCTCCCTGCACTTTCCTGATTGAGAGCAAATAATAATAATAATCATCCTTGCATTTGATATAGCGCTCTATCACGTCTTCGAGACGTCTCAAAGCACTTCACAGAATGTACCGGAAAGCGAATTGTATGTATATTTGTGGGCAAAATGCAGCAGCCAATTGCGCTCAGCAGTGTCCCACAAACAGTCATGGATTGAGTGACCCAAATTTATTTTTTGTTTGAAGGGATTACTACCTTTGAAATAGCGATCCGCCAATTGACTAACAACCGAGTTCCTACTTACTGCGAGGTAAACAGAGGCGTGTGGAGTAAGGAAACTTGCCTAAGGTTTCCCCCTGCCTGAATCGAACCCGGGTCCTCTTGCTTGTGAGGCGATTGCTCTAAGCACTACTCTACAGGACTCCAAATGTTTTGACACCGCACTTAGCGCAGCATTGCACTGGGAGTTCAGAGATTTGGGTTATTTTGGGGGGGCTCGGATGTGCAATTAAAGTGATTCTTGAAAAATGAAAGTTATTTTAATCGCTTTCTATTGTGAGAACCAATGTTTGACCAAAATCCACTGAGATTAATAAATAATTGCACAAAATGGGACAAGTGATAGTGATGAAACATAACTTGGCAGAGACTCCTGCCTGAATGCAAAGGTCACCTTTTTATTTATTTTAATACCTTCCTGGAGATTTTGATTGTTTTCTTTTATGTCTAGTGGGAATCTGACCAAAGACATAAACTTTTTTAAAACAAAAACAATTACCCTCTGGTTCCCCCCCCCCCCCACCAACGCTCTTCCCAGGACCTTCTGCTGACACAACAGGGTATCTTGCTCAACGACAACAACAACTTGCATTGATGTAGTGCCGAGCGCTTAACCATGGTGGAACCTGACGCCAATCCGGGGGAGAGAAGAGGTGACCGTAAGAACGGTTGAAGAGGAAAGTCTTCAGTCGTGATCTAAAAGAGTGAAGGTGGGGGGGCGGGGGCAAGGTGGAGGGATTCAGGAGGAAGAGTTCCAGATTTTTGGGAGGTTGAGGCTGAAAGCATGGCTGCTGATGGTGGAGTGGAGGGTATGAGCAGGAGGCCGGAGCCAGCTGAGCAGAGGAGGTGGTTGGTGGAGTGGGGAGTAAGCAGGTCAGAAAGGTAGGGAGTTACCAGCGTGTGATAAGACTTGTAGATGAATGTGAGAATCTTGAAATCGATCAGTTATGTGATAGGGAGCCAGTGGAGCCTGGTGAGAATGGTGTGATGGGGGTGTAAGGAGTTTAGTGTGGGTGTATTGGTGACATATTGATTTCAGTATTGATCTCAGACCAGTAAGAAGCTCACGGGAGTCAGATCCTTAACTGTCTCTTATTGAGGAAGTCCTTGACAGAACTGGGTTTGGGAGCTCAGCGTAGTGGGCTGTTGAGCTCAGGTCCTGTTGCTCTGAAAGAGGAAGAAACAGAATGAATTGCTGTCGACATCTCCATTATTATAGCATGCGACTACCAGGCTAGAGAAGGAGGACTCGGTGGACCTTGATTGTTTTTCGCCTTGCAATTCCTGTGTTCCGCTGGTCAGATTGGTTTCTGGTGATCAGGTAGAGGATAGTCCAGGGTCAAACATTTTAATCAACTTCTGCTTCCTTTTTTTTTCAGCTTCCAGCATGACCACCTTTGCTGGTGAACCCAACATGTGTCCAAGATGTGGAAAGAAAGTCTACTTTGGTGAGTCCAAATCGATGAATGATCACCAAATTCCTGCCAGGACTGAATAACCTGATTTCAAATACAATAAGGTGTTGGAGCGGGTGGGGGATGAGAATAAGTGGTGGGGAGAGGAGAGAGAGAGACGGAAAGAGAGACATCATCTTTTACCCAGTAGGCATAACTCCCAAGTGCAAATGTAGGTAAGCCTTAAATGGGAAGGAACTCATAGATATCGATAAAACAATACTATTCTGTGACTCAACTCAAGCCAGTCTCACTATATGTGTATCATATCATATAGTGAGTCACATATAGAATCGCCACATATAGAACCTTACAGCACAGAGGGAGGCCATTCAGCCTATCGTGCTTATGCTGGCTCTTTGAAAATGCTCTCCTAATAATAATCCTCATATTTGATAGCGCCTTATCACATCCAGATCGTAATACCTCTGATAACAAATATGATACACATTCAAGATATCACAATCCTGCAGTGCTGCCATTCAGCCATCACACAATGTAAATTAAGCCGTGACATCTAGACAGCTAGGCGCGGAAAAAATTAGTGGGTGGGAAGGTGAGGGGACCTTGATCATTTCATCAGAAAAACAGGGCCTGAGCTCAATCCCACAGACTCTGAATGCAGACAACACACTGTGTTTATGCTTAACTCAACACGGCAATGTGTTGCCATGGCAGAGCAGTCCTCGCTGTGCGTGTTGCATGCTCACACTGGACCAGTCTAGACGGAAACTGCAGGATCGTATTACTAATTGTTCTGTCAGGCCTGATTGAATTGCGGAAGGCTGATGGGTTAAAACCACCCTGTGTTTTCTGGAGATTGCCTGTGAGATTGGGAGCACCACTGCAGGATCCTAATGATAGCTTCTTGTAACTGGTTATGATTATAAAGTGTGTGAATCAAGTAACTGTCGGCCATTATTCCCAGGCCTGTTTATTACCCACTGAACACACTAGCCCTAACAAGCTTGGTGTGTGGTCGATGTAGCTTGAAACTTTAGATCCCTTGACTACATTGTAATGTGATTTTACAATGGAACAGGTGGGGGTGGGGAGGGAAGGACTTCATAAATGTCCTTGTGACTGGCTAAAGAGGGAACTCAATACAGTGCCCTTTAATATTAGGTTTCAACTACCAAAAAGGGTCAGTTGTGCCCACAGTTCCCTCTGTACATGAGTGTTTGTCTATGTACAGAGGGAACGGTATATGGACAGTTCCCTGTCATGTGGTGTACATGTGGATTCCATTTTAATGTTTTCCCCAAGTCTTCAATGTTTGTCTCGTGTTCATCTTTAATGTGTCAGCCTGGCACAGTGTTAGCATTCTCGCCTCTGCGTCAAAAGGTTGTGGGTTCAAATCTCATGTCGGAAGGTGCAGCATGGAGGTGGGGGGTGTGCATTATTTGTCAGAGGTGCCGGTCTTCAGATGAGATGTTAAACCGCGGTTCGTCTGCCTGTTCAGGTGGATGTTAAAGATACTATTGGAAAGGAGAAGAGAGTTTTGCTCTCCCGGGGTCCTGGCCAACAATCCCCCAGATAAAATTGTTCACTCACTACATGGCTGTTTGTGGGATGTTGCTGTGTGCACTTGTGCTGCTGCATTTGCCTACAATTACACATTCACCCCATTTCACAGTAAATCCTATGAAGTGCTTTGAGACGTCCAACAAACATGATAAGGCACTATATCGAATCCAAGTATTATTATTATCCTTACTTCACCCCAATGTGACATTTTCCTCCTCTCATTCTGTGGTCTCTTCAAGCGAGATTGCCAGTTTAACGTTCAATAAAGGGAGTTTGGGCTGCGTGCTGAACTGAGAATGTCCAAATTCCAGGCTCTTCGAAGCCAACATACCAGAGAGACATTTTGTTCCATCAGGCTGGGCTAGAGTTATACTCAAAGTTGAAAGAGTTGTTTTTCACACTCCAATGCACTCAATACAACTCAGAGCTGTAAGCAACTCTCAGTCTGTGTTGAGATTGAACTCAGCTGCTTCACCTAGATCAGTGATGCTATCAAGAAGTGGCCCTGAACATATGCACCAGTCTAGGTAAGTTTGTGAGAATCAATATTTTGTTTCCAATAGCGACTGTATTATGATGATGTAGTATGTGGCCATCAATCAAGAAATATTCAATCAAGAAAAAATATATTTTGTTGGCCATCCAAAAAGATTGGCCACCACCGATCTAGATGAATGATTTAATTGAGCCACAAAAGACTGAGGTGATTACAGATCTAAGCTGTATTGAGATGAGATAATTTTCAGCCAGGCAGTTCGGAGGAAGCCAAGTTTTCATTCTATTATTTTGGGTGTGCCTTTGTGTGTGTGTGTGTGTGGTGAGGGATGTAAGTCTTGAGAACACAGATGGCTCTGTAGTGCGGACACTAACATGGTTCTCTCCTGTTTCCAGCTGAGAAGGTGACATCACTGGGTAAGGACTGGCACCGTCCCTGCCTGCGGTGTGAACGCTGTAACAAGACTCTGAATCCTGGAGGCCATGCTGAGGTAAGAGACGCTCTTCAATTAGGACTAGACACTAGAGGGAGGAACATAGGAACTTTATCCCATCGAGTCTTTCCGGTAGCTGATATTTGAACTGTTTTGAACCTCAATCAAATCACTCCTGAACAAATGTAACCTCAGTTTACTAAGTCCAACAACATAGTCAATTCCTTATACCTCAGACATCGTCTTAGTTAATGGTTCAGCCTTTAACTAAGTCGTATTATGGTTAGCCATTGACCCATTGTATTTCCCTCGATGACTGTAATAGCTAACCTGGAGCTTGGGCTAAACAAGGTTTCCTTGGGGCTAAGCTGGCTTCAACGTAATGTGCTTGATGATGGAATGTCAGAATCAAGTTGACCTGATGTGGCTGTCTTGGTCATCTGGTTCTTGAGCCCGGCAGGTCTGCAATACTGATGACAGATTAGTTAGCCTCACTTATTGGCAGGACTTGGAGGGGCAGTGATTCTTCCCACTCATCTTTTGTTCATCCTGCAAGCCATCGCCCAAACAGGTGAGGGGTCAATAATGGACAATATAGTAAGTCCTATGTTTTCAACACATGTCCCGACTAGTGATCCCAGGTCAGATACTGCACAGTTTAGATGTATATTATAGCGCTCTCTATGCTATCCATCCAGCACTCCTAGGATTAGATACAGAGTGCGGATTAGACAGTGAGGAAAGCTCCCTCTACACTGTCTATCCAGCATTCCTAGGTTAGCTGCAGCACAGATTAGATACAGAGTAAAGCTCCCTCTGCACTTAGCAGTGGGATGGGCGGGATGAGGGGTTGATCTGGGCGCTTTCATCATTTACCAAAACTGTTCTACATAATTCTGGCACAGTGTACATTTTATAAAATTAAAAGGATTAAAAGGTAGTTTTGGGAAAAAAAATTCACCCGGGAGCTGAAATGTTTTCAGTTTAATTGAAGAGGCTGAGCTAAGATGGAAAGTAGATCGGTTTAAACTTGCTCTGGTATCAGTTCAAAGCTAATTTCCAAGAGTGACCTTCTGCTGCCCTTTAGTGTCAGTGAATTCAAAGCATTGTTAGGCCGTGACTATGTCAGACTCTTCTAACAGTGAACCTTCCTATGAACGGTGATCCCACTTGCCTCGCAAGCAAGGACTCATGTTCGATTCACGGTTAGGGCGAAACCTTAGGCAAGTTTTCTTACTCCATATGCCTCTGTTTACCTCGCAGTAAATAGGTTGTTAGTCGATTGGCGGATTGCTTTCTCTGCGTAATAATCCGATCCAAAAATATATATAAATAAATAATAATTTAGTCACTCAATCCACGACTGTTTGTGGGACAGACGCTGCCGTGTTTCACCCACAAAATATACAGTCAATTCACGTTACAGTATATTCTGTGAAGTGCTTTGAGATGTCCCAACGATGTGATAAGGTGCTATATTTAATGCAAAGATTATTATTATTATTTTTAGTGCATTTCGTATTAGTGCCTTTCATGTCAGGAGGACCTCACAAAGCGCTTCACACAGGAACTTTACACTTGATTGTAAAGTGTAATGACTGTGTTTTTCTGGGTAGCACAGCAGCCAATTGCGCACAACAGTGTCCTGCAACAAGCCATACAGTGAGTGATGAGTTTTTCTTTGGGGGAATTGTTGGCCAGGTCACTGGGAGAAACTCCCTTCTCTTTCCGAAGAGGGCCGCGGGATCTTTAACATTCACCTGAACAGCCAGACAGGACGTCAGGGCAAAGATGCTGTTTAAATCTATCCGACTGGTTCAGTTGTTGGCGCTCTCGCTCTGAGTCAGAAGGTTGTGTGGGTTCAAGCCCCACGTCAAGATTTGGAACACACGGTCTAAGCTGAGTGCTGGGGGGTGGTGGGGTGCGTGTGCTGCATTGCTGGAGGCTTGTCTTATCAGAAGGACTGCACTTGCAACAATGCAGCACACCCCCAGCACTGTACTGAAGTGTCAGCCCAGACTGTAGGTTCCGAGTTCCTATGTGGGGCTCGAACCCACAAACCTTCTGATTCGGAGGCGAGAGTACTACCAATTGAGCCATGCTGGCACATTTAAAGAGCATCTTTGGAAAATAGTCTGCCTTGAATCCTAATGTAATGGATTCATTACATTAATGAATGCATTACATTACATTACATTAATGCACATGCCGGCCAGCCATCAGTTCTTGAGTTATAATAGGATTAGATGCAGGGCAAGTCCCACCGTGTAATGATGGAGTGAGCTCCTGCATGGAGTGAACTTCTGAGCCCGAACGTTAGCTGAAGGGAAAATGAGTCCCGAGCTACCTTACATTATAGCATGTGTTAAGAGCCTTGTTAGATTCACTGCGGTCATCAACAGACTGGGGGTGTGGTGTGTAACAGACACCGGCTTTGAGTACCGGTTCAGTTACCGCCCTTTTATAATCTGCGCTTAAGACTGTGAAACCTAACCTGTGTACTGTACTCACAATGGAGCAGTCACATGGCACTGACGGATGGCAATGAGGTTATGTTCTCTTGTGTTCTGTCAATATCTGCTCCGATGGTTTGGTGAAACCTCTTCTTTGTTCACTTTGCCGGAGAAAGAGAGAGAGATATGTTTATTTTACTGCCTCTATTGGAGAAATCACAGCCCTGAACATGTTAGAGCAGAGACCAACCAGTCCCACACTCATAATACGTGTAGCAAGCCGCACTCGAGTATCAGACCGCGATCTTTATTTATATTCGTGCTGTCAGTTCAAAGCCCCTTTTATTAACATAGTGCGGATAATTGCCTCGGTCTGTTTAGTCTTCTCCAGGTTTCTCTAAACCTCTTCTTCTCCTGAAGGTATTTTTACTTCTCCCCCTTCTCCTGAGGTATCAAATCACAGGTAGGTCCAGTCCCCAACAAGTGGGAGCTTTTCAGTGGGTGCTGTTGTGCTGTTCCATGGAGGAAGATCATCAGGTTTAGCCTCCCTGAAGTGGCTGCTTCCATTGTGGAGTCCACACAGAGACAGAGTAGTTTGCAGTTTTTAGAAGGGAATTATTTTGTATCATGTTCACGGCAGTTTTAACTTCTGTTTTTAACCAAGAGAAAACACTCAGACTGCTTTATATTGCCTTCCCAGCCTCCGTTTTCTCCTCTCCTGTAAAAACTGACGCTTGCTGTAATGAGCGCCATCCTCCCTCCCAGTAACGTGCCCAAGTGTGCAAGACTGTGAGGTGTCGCTCACACCATAGATACTCTGACCCCAGCCCCACTGCCTTGTCCTTCTGCGCTGTTGATATTCTCCAACCGGTCAATCGCCGTGAGGTGGTGTCTCGCACGTACGTGCTCAATAAAAACAAGAGGCAGGAGCGATATCTACCACAGTTTTAAACAAGAAAGTTTACATTTTTATTTCGAGATGCATGAAGTACTTTGTGCATCTGGCTTCGTTTTCAAATGGACTAAGTAAATAAGCAGTTTTTTGGGGGGGTGTAGCCGGGTGTCTGACACATGCGGGAACCCATCACCGTGCTTAAGAGTGTCCAAACCAAACTGGGAACTCCATGCATCCCACCTACACGTGGAAATTCCAGCGATTCAACCTTACTAAATGTGCAGTCCGATCGTTCTCTCCTCTTGTCTATTCTGATCACGCGCCAGAGCGCCACCTAGAGTCCGGATTGGCGACCCTTGTTGTAAACAATGTGCGTCCGTCGTTGCACTGACCTACTTCTGTCAGCCTGCACTGCACTGCAACTGACAGAATGTGAAAACAGCAATTTTCTCTTGGATTTACGGAAGGTCAGGCTCCGAAACCGACATCTGTCGCTCCCTTGGCTGAAAATCCAATTTCCTCTCAACATTCGTGTCGCGGCATCTTACGTACACATTCTGGGGTCTGATCATCTTTCCTCTCAGGAACGTAAAAGTAGGGAGTAGTTACATTTGCACATTTGATGTTTAATAAATTCGATGAACTACAGAATTTCTATTTTAAAAAATCTGTTCCAAAATGCCTCCTTGTTATAATTCCAGCCCCCCTCCCCACCCAGAACACGTCCGTATCAGCTTACCATTGCCACACCCTCAATGGGTCCCCTAAATTCAGGATTCTAAGTGCATTTCTAAATGCGTGGTGAGCAATAGAATGTTTTATATGGTGTTTTAGGGAGTGTGTTCTATATAGCGGGGCGGGGGGTGGGGGGTAAACCTTCTAATCTCCATTTCCTACTTTGGTGTGTCTAGTTGGGGTTGAGCTGACCCAAAGAAAAGACCAAGGGGGAAGGTCTTATTGAGGGGTGAGGCAGGGGCTGGGGCAGTGCATTAATCCAGAGGCTGGGGTGGAGGGACTGGGGGCGAGAGCCGGGCACAAAGATCTCTGTAGATGTCGTGGCTCATTGTTTCCATGGTAACCTGCTCGATAGTGAAACGTGGCATTTTGATGGAGTCGGTGACAATGCCTTGATATAGGGAGGGTTGGGTCTGGCAACATCTATAGAGAAAGCTAACGATCAAAGAAGGTCTTGGGATGGACCTTGAAGGACAGGCGAAGGGACTCCGGGATGGAGTTCAAGAGAGCGGGGAATTATAACGAGGTATTTCTGAACTGATTTTTTTTCATAGGAAATCTGTAATTAATTGAATTTCTTAAAACATCAAACGTGCAAATGTAAGTAATCTCTACTCTTGATAAAGCTCCTAAAAAATTTCAATGTTGCGTAGCTCTTCGTGGGTGTAGTGACTGTCTGTTTGTAGGGAAATATTGCACACAGTCCCATTCCACTGATGGTCATAAGGTAAATGACTAATTATATTGGGGGAATGTTCATACTGACCTGTCTGCTCCCTCTGCTCAGCGCACTCTGGCCTGCTGTATGTTCCCCGCCGTGCCCGCCCCACCATCAGCGTTTGGGCCTTCAGGCTTTCAGTCTCCATCCTTTGGAATTCCATCCCACAGTCCCTTAGCCTCGCCCTTTCCCTTGCCTCCTTCAAGACCATCTCCAGACCCTCCTCTTCGACCTCGCCTTGGGTCAGCCTCCCTGG